CAACATGGAGCTTGTATATACACTGCGTGCTTAACAATTTGTCGCTTTTAAACATCACAGGGTATTTATTTCTCTCGTTTTACAGAAACATTACTTGGTATGGTAAAATTTTGTACTTGCCTCGTCTTTGACAGAGTATTGTTGATTTTTTAAATTTGTTTCTTGAAGATTGACTAAAGTAGACCATAAGTACATGTGTATAACTGGCGTACTTTGGTACACGAATCACGTGCTCAGTTGGCTGTCGCATTACGTTATGCGCATCTCTCCATTTCTCGCTTGATGATCGAAGTCACGCACACGCAGTGTTCCAACAGCTCTTGAACGTGTAATATTCACCTTGCGGTACTACATTCATATATATGTATGTATAGGTGCAACATCGCGAATCTGCACCGCGTATAAGCGGAGAAGGGACGGTCGGAATTTTCGCGCTCGGGGCTTATTTTAACGAAGGACGTAATATGGTCGAGAGCGCGGCGAAGGCTGCGCCGATTATCGGATTTCCGATGTTACACACGACTCGAGTTGGTTGGGTTTTCCGACGATCGCTAACGAATTTCATCCATCTCCATTTCATGTATTGTTGGATGCACGACCAAACGAACAATTTGATCACTGCAAGGCTCGGTGAATTGCTATATAAGCGCGAGAAAGCTGCAACGTGCGAGTATAATCTCGGAAATAAGTTAGTGCATAAATGTACAAGATTTCTGCTGTCCCATGTATCTATAGCATGTATATAAGACCCAATGTGTCGAGTGCACGTGACTTTCGCTCGAGCTCATTTCGTGTGTGCACGTGTCCAAGGGCGACACTATACTTACAGTGACATTTAAGTAGATGGACGCGTGTTATCGATTGATGAACAATTCCGTCGAAGCAGTGCATCATATCTCCGATCGAGAAAAAGTAAAATGTATAACAACAAGCTCCCGAGTATTTTTAATCGTCGCGACTTTGACGGACGTGCAGAGAGATCATTGCGTCGTCTCGTGTTCTGTACGTGTCGAAAATATATATAAACCGTCCATTTGGTGCTTATGTACATTGCAAGAGATAACGATTTTTTTTTTACGATGAATCGTAGACTCGAAAAACTAATGTATACAGTCAGGAAAAACAAAAAAGTACAATCGTTAAATAAACGCGTTTGCTGGTCATGTACATATTATACACTCGCCGATAATCCCCAGATTTGGATCTGCTGGCTTTAAATACATGACAAAAAGCTCGTCCGATTAATCGGTGTCGCCGCTTAACCGACCGTCCGCCAGAGATTTTTGCGCAGATCTAAAGCACGTATACAAAACGAGTCGACTATAGACCCAAAAAACCGGCACCTGTCTCGCTTTGCTTCTCTCTCGTCGTCACGTGCGCCTCTAAATATGTTTGTGGAAGTATACATTACATAGAGTCCCGGTGTGTATTTTTATACCGACAAAAATTTTTTTTTTTTTTTTTTTTTTTCATTATAAGTACGCACACTCGATTTTCTCATACCGAGCGTTGCGCGCACACGTCCACATAATATAACCATCTGTGGCGTTAGATAAGACGCGCGCAATATTTTGTTTCGGTTCTCGTTGCGTAAATCGCGTCGCGAATAACAAGCTCCGGTGTGTATAAAAGTCGACTCAAAATAGTTGAGTAAATATACATATAAGTACAGCATTTTATAAATATATGATGCACTTGGTTTGTTGGCGCGATCGCCACGTTTTGGCCTCTCTCGTCTGCTGCAACTATTATTAAACTGCACGGCCAAACTGTTTGTCTTTTGATTATTTTTGAAGTGCAACGCGAAAGCTCCTTCGGTACCTGCACTTGTTGGTTAAAAAAAAAAAAAAAAAGAAAAAAGAAAAAAGAAAGAAAAGAAAAATTAATTCGATCATCTAAAAATAGAACCTTTGCACTCTCGTGCCCAAGTCGAACCTCGACCTCCTTTTTATTACGGCGCTAATTACCTAACGCAAAAAATCTCTTCCTCGTACCAGACGCACCGGAAAAACTGACCGGCGCGGTGCGGTGGAGTAGAAAAAAAAAAAAAAAAAAAAAACAACAACCGAACCAACACAAACCTGCTGCAATTAATCAGTGCATCTGCGTAATCGGCATTGAGGCGCGCGCTCGGGTACATCAGGGCCGCGGTACGGCCGTGCGGCCTCGACGCTCTTTCGTTGTAGCCTCTCCGAATTATCTATAAGCTCAATCATAAAAGTATATTTATTTGTTAATTTTGATTTTTTT